GCTTGGGAAACAAGTTGTTCTCAATTCAAAATATTCAATTTTTGTCTGTAAATAGGGATAAATTCATCATTATAATATTTTCGTAAATTCTGTAATTGTATGTAAAGCTAAATAACACATATTTATTATGGATGACTAAACAAGTAATAAATAACTTAGAGTTAAATTATGTTTTTTTGTTACTCATACATATTTTGTAGTCTTTCCCTTGAAAAGTATCGCATGAGCTGTCAAATATAAACGTACAGTACCTAAAACTTTCCAACAATGCTAGGAGATGAAGTACTCTCACTGAGTTTGTGCCCCTCAGGGGATCAACCGAAATCAATCACATTCACGAATACCTTCTGCTACAAAGAAAATACCTAAGCAATTATCATTTATACCTTGAATGTCGGTTTGTGTACCCAAAGCACATACTTACATACCTGCATCAAATACGGACATATCTTGTCACAGATCTTATGTACCTATAATACTTTGTATTATATGCTTCAGTAACGAGTATATATACTCTGATAACATGTGCTTGGAAAACAGACACTTTTTGTTCAAAATCTTCACTTGTTGTCGGTAACCAAGGATGAATTCATCGTGATAGTATTTCTGCGGCACCCTAAATTGTATGAAAAGATAAATAACATATATTTACTATAGATGACTAAATAAGTCAGAAATAACTTCATTATATTGTATGATATATGTACAATTATAGTCCAACCTCCACTTGTAGATGGCTAAACAAGTCATAAATGACTAAGTTAAATTATATTGATTGTTAGAGTAAATAACTGCTGCCAGGAATTGAAAATCTTTGGACCAATTACATAGTAATCTACATCGTAACACACTCAACAATAACATTCAAGTAAAAGCGCGAGTTGTAATCTACTACTAGGACTTCAAGTGTTTTTTATGTAATAGGACAAAAACATCTTTTCTAAAATATTTAAACCCATAACATAATAATCTAAATTTTCGCACTCACAAACTCAAATATCAATCAATCAGAAGAATTTAACAAAATAGTAACTCAGTTGAGTAAGAAAGTACTCCAGTAGAGCTCCGATGTACCTTTGTTAAATTTTCAGAAACCTCTGTTGTCAACAAGTCATATATAAAATACTATCATCACATACCCATAATTTCCGTTCATCTACCATAATACATCAAATTTACAAAAGAGCTTCAATGCAACAATACTCTTATTGTTGTATATTTATATACAACATTACATTATGTTTAGCACGCCAAAAGTAATTACAATGAGAGGATTGATGGGCATCCTTTCAAAATAAAAAAATTACACATTTAAATATCTACAACAATTGCGTCTGGCTTTAACCAACTATCACAAACCAAATTGAATACTTTTGCAGCTGCAATTAAGATATCAACGTCTTGATTTGTTTTGAGTTTTTGGTAAATGATGAAGAATAGTCACTTTAGCATGATGCTTCTGCCCATAAATAAATAAAATATTGATGTTCAGCAACTTAGGAAAAAATATGTGATTATATAATAAATTGTACAATTAGAGTATATGAATATAATATTTTTACACACTAATCTAAACCTACTGGACTAAAATAAATTACAATTATATATATCATATATAAATCAATACTTGAAGAGGTAAGACTGTAAGCAATCCAACAATGTTATTTTACCAATCACTATAACATTGTTTTCCATAATATCAACACCAAACTACAATAGATTATAAATGCACAACAATAACTAGTGATGACAATATTGAGGATATAACTGTTGATTGAAACCTCAAAATAGTGCATATTCATGAAAAGTGAAATTATAACTCAATACTTTGAACAAAAAATTATTAAATTCTCTTACACTAATACATGTAATTTTTTGAGACATTTTATCGAACATGTGAAGTGCATTAGACATTTACCTCACTACTATTAACATAATGTTTTCCAAATGGGAGATAGGAAAAAAGAATGAAAAATGCATCAGGGTTGAGATTTGGTATTCATTCACCACACATAATATATCTACAATCAATTAAGAACAGATGTTCTAACCTTTCAAAAACAACAAGGTGGGTCTTCTTCAAAGAGAAATGGATTGTTGTCCAATGGCCGTAACAAATTGGGATAGATGGGTCTTTGTGTTTTTCGGAATCTAGGCCAGTGATATGTAATTACAATTTCACGTTCACCGGATTATGGGCGAGTAGATACCCCTTCCAATTTTGTGCGAAATTAACGATCTATTTGAAGGGGTTAGAGATTACAATAGGAAAGAGTGTGAAGACGAAATGAAATAGAAAATGAGGGAGTGCTGCGCTAGTAACATTTATAACAAAATAATCACCTCCTCAGGCATAAACTATCCATTTTAAAACAGAGGTCCTAACCTTTGTAAAATTCCGACGTTGCTCTTCGCCGGAGAAGAAGGGCTCACAGTGGCACGGAAATATCAAACAAGAAAAAAAGAAAATGGTTCTTCGCGATTGTTGGCTTCTGGGCAACGCGGCTGTGGTGGTGATTTTCGATCCAAGGATTCTGGACTAACAGGTTTTACTCCAAATTCCGCGCGAAGAATAACCAACGTGTGTGAAAGGGGTTTGAGAGCTAAATCAGAAACAAAGAAATGATAGGGAGTGAAGAATGGGTGAAATGGAAAAGTAGGGACTGCAGAATAAGAATTTAATAATGGGGACTGATTCTTAATAAATTAGACAAAACAGGGATATAAAACCAATTCTGCCTTTTTTCTTTTATCTCTGATTCTATTCTCTACTATCAATTTTCCACAATTTAATTCCTTGTACCAAACGCACCCTTAAAATTTATAAATAGAATGCATATGATGAAATAAAAAGATAGAGGCCTGAAACGTCCCTTTAGAATCTAAAAAATCGGAATTTATTTTGATTTATTCTATCTTTTATTAGTATTTTCTTGTACATCAAAATCTTATGAGTTTTACAGGCGTACCCAAATCATTAATCTGTTTTCCTTGCCTCGAAGATGACCAATGAGTTGGCAATAATTTGTTGAACTCACAGGTGTGCCTTCTTCATCCTTCGATAGTCTAAACTTTGCGTCCATCGGCCACTTTGTTGGATTACAGTTCCACATTCCAGCTACTTGTAGAATCCGCTTTGCATACCCGGCTTGACTTATCTCAATGCCTTTCTCACTTTGTCACACTTCTATTCCCAAGTAGTATGTTAACAGCCCCAAGTCACTCATCTCGAACACCTGCTGCATTTTTCCTTTGAACCGAATTACTTGGTCTTCATTTGATCCGATGACAATTAAATCCTCCACATATACGCCAACTATCAAAATTGTGTTGGAACAACGAAGCTTATACATGCTTGCTCTTGTGAACTCCTTGTAAAGCCCAAATCTTTGAGTGTCTTGTCAAGACGTATGTTCCATGCTTGTGGCGCTTGACGTAAGCTATAGAGGGACTTGTATAGACGGTATACCATATGCTCATTCCCTTTAGCAACAAAACCATCGGGTTGAGACACGTATACTTCTTCTAGCAATTCTCCATTTAAGAATGCCGACGTCACATCAAGGTGATGGACCAACCATCCTTTCATTGTAGCTATAGCCAATAGCAGCCTTATAGTTTCCAATCTGGCCACCGGTGCAAAAACTTCATCAAAATCGATCCCTTTCCGTTGAAATTATCCTTTTGCAACCAATCGAACTTTGTGTTTGACAACATTTCCATCAGTATCTTTCTTGATTTTAAACACCCATTTCAGTCCGATTGGTTTGTGCCCAGGTGGAAGAGTTGTAAGCTTCCTAGTACGATTCTTTTCAATCGAACACAATTCCGCTTTCATTGCTTCCTGCCACGAAGGAACACCAGCAGCCTCTGTAAATGTTGTAGGTTTATCACCTACGAACATCAATTCATTGGATTCCTCTTCCACATGCTCCGTCTCATTGTAGATATTGGTGAGACTTCGAAAGCCTTTAACAAGAGTGTGTTCATACATCGAGGGGTCCACATTTGCTGCACTATTTTCTCGGAGAAGCTGCTCAATAATTTCCATCAGCATGTTCAGCAGGAGGTTCGGGCTAATCTTCTCTGTTGGTGTTGGCTGGTATTTCTTCTTCCGCGATATGATTGAAAAAATTGTTAACCCACAATTTATTTGCATCAGCCTCTTGCATGTGTGATTGAGCCCAACTCCATTTTTCTTTTCATCGAAAACGACGTCAAGAGCAACCACAACCTTCAGCTCAATTGGGTTCAATATTTGGTAGGCTTTAGAACCCGATTCAACTCCTAAATAAACCATTGGAGTGCTGCGATTCCTGAGGTTCGAAACCTGATCAGTCAGCTTCTTCACATACCCAACGCACCCAAACACCTTTAGGTACTCAAGTATCGGTTTAAATCGTTTTAGACCTTCATATGACATCACTCCTTTAGTCGGAATACGGTTATGTAGATAGCATGTCTGATAGCTTCACCCCACATTACATATGGCACATTCATCATTCATAATAACGACCTCGTAACTTCAAGAATGCTCCTATTATGACACTCAGCCACACCATTTTGTTGAGGGGAGTAATGGGCTGTAAGCTGCCTCTGAATTCCTTTATACTCACAAAACTCATTGAATTTTTTAAAGGTGAATTCCCCCTACGATCAGTCCACAATATTTTCAACTTCATCAATGTCTTTTTCTCAATTTTTACTTTGAATTTTGCAAAATTGGCAAAGGCTCCATCCTTCGATTTTAGCATAAAAACCCACATGTAACAACTTAAATCTTCAACTATTAACATGAAGTAACGGTTAACTGACAGTGTTGAGGGAGATATCGGACCACATAGATCCACATGAACCAATTCAAGAGGTTGACTTGCCCACCATTGAGCTTATTTGAGGAACGGATGTCTCGATTGTTTTGCAACCATACATCCCTCGCAAACTTGTGCAGGACGTTGTATAATGGGAACCCCATGAACCAATTCATTTCAGACCATCCACTAGATTGTACTAAAATTCGCGTGACCCAACCGAGCATGCCACATCCATGCTTTGTTATCAAGATTTGCCGTTAGGTGAATGGGTTGAGTAGTCTCAAGTGCAATCTTATACAATCCATTTCTCGATCGTTCCACCCTCATATTTAAACGACCAACATCATCATGTATCATTAAGTAATCGTTTATATTACTATGTAAAGCCGGGATAAAATATACCTCCGAGATGAGTTGTTGTTCTCTATTTTTGCACTTCATCAAGATTGACCCTTTGCCTGCGATCTGAACCTTAGAATTGTACCCAAGACGAACCTTGCCAGTGAATTTTTCATCCAACTCCGCAAAGAATCTTCGTGTTCCAGTCATATGATTGCTCACGCCATTATCAAGGTACCAAACATCTTCTCTAGCCTCGCAAGTCCCTTCAAATGTACTAGGACATACACTTTTCTCATTCAATAGAACCAACGTCTTTTTTTTCTCTCCATAGATGCTAAGCAACAAAGCTGGTTCTTCCTCTTGCATTTCAACCAAATTTGCTTTGTCCCCTTTCTCCTTTGGCACTTTGCATTCGGATGCATAATGACCGTAGTTTTCACAATTGAAACACTTAATGTGTTTCTTATCTCTTGGCTTGTAATTGTTGTTACAAACATCTCGTTGCCAATTGGGTTTCCCTCGACCAGCTCTTCCACGGCCTCCACGACCTCCTCTATCTTTCAAACCATGTCCTCGTCCTCCCGACGATCCTCTTGCAGCTTTGTAAACTTGCTGATTTTCAATTCTGGTAAGCAGCAGGCTGGTTTCAGCACTTCCATTACCACTTCGGAATCGTAATCTATCTTCATATGCCTTCAATCTACCGACAGCCTCGTCGAACGGCATGGAGTCAATATCTGAATATTGCTCAATCGAAGCTACCAATTGTAGGTACTTGTCGGGGATTAAATCGAGCAATTTTCGCATCGGAACACTATCCTCAAGCGTCGCCTCAAGGTTGTTCTATTTGAACATCATCCCACTCAATTTTCCGGTGAATTCATCAATTGTTTCCCCGTCTTTTATCCAAAGAGCCTCAAACTCACTTTTCAGCGTGTGTAATCGTGCTCTCTGCACTCGATCAACACCAACGTAACGCAACTTTAATGAATCCCACAATTATCTTGTTGTCTTCTTCTTGGCCATTTATAGTAGAACATCCTCTGGTAACCTTTGAAAAATGAAAGCTCTTGCTGATTTACTTTTCTTCACATCAACCTCCTTGTTATCCAATGGTTCAACAGACTCCTACAACCCTTGTGTGTCCAAAATAGCTTCCGTCCCCATCGCCCAAGTGGTGTAATTCAAAGACGTTAGCATGGGACACTGGTACGGCACACCACCCGCTCTCTTTTCCTTGAGCTACTAGAGCCATGTCTTCCAATCCTAGATATTTGGGCATAACACGATAGAATTCTCTAATACCAAGTGTTGGCACTCACCTAGATTGGAATTAAGATACACACCAAAAACACGAGGCAAATACAAGAAGAAGAACAGAACAGTAGCAAACTTTGTTTAGTGTTTTCTGGAATTCACTCTATTTTTTATGAATGAAAAACAAATACATAAAATTGTTACAGAAATTTCCAGAAAATCAAAATGAGATAACAAAGACAAAAGAATACAAGAATTTGGTAACCCAGTTCGATCATGATGATCTACGTCTGGGGGCGCTGCCAAGCCAGAAATTTTACTATAAAATACGCAGACACATGTTAAAGAGAGAATACATGGATATTTATAGCCTAAGCCTTTGACAATAATATCCAAATCATATCTCTAAAATCTAAAATATAATATCCAAATCATATCCCTAGATTTTAGGATATAATCAGGCTTCATATCCCAACAATCTCCCACTTGAAGACTGATTTCATCTTCCACTTCAACATACCTCATCCAATCTCCACTCCCCACCATTCGGTGTTCTGATTCGAATCATTCCTTTACCTACAATTTTCAGTGTCTCATCATCTGCAAAATAGACAACACCAAAATTTTCTGCGATATAGGATTCCCTAATTCCCGAATCACTGCATGAGTGGAATGATGCTCCTGAGACCAAAATTCATGACTTCATTGGACTGCTGACGCTCAGAATTAGCGCATCGGATATCTCCTCCGTTGCGTTTGCTGAACCCTGATCCTTCTCCAGCACCCTGCACTATCGTTTCAAGTGCCCCTTGCAGTTCCAACATACCACCTGACTTGCATCTTCCTTTTACGTGTTCTCCGGCTTCAACTTTGACAATTCTTGATCTTCACCCTTTCCCTTTGCCTAAAATCTAAATTCAGTCGAGACATTCTCCTAAAGGGTTAGTCCAACCGCACTCATCGTCTTCCTGTCGATCTTCTTTTACTCGACTTCATCCATCTTGACTCCCACAAACAAACCTAAGGTTCATTTGATATGATAGCACATCGGATATCTCCTCCGCTGCGTTTGCCGAAACCCTTGTCCTTCCCTGCCAACCTTGTACCGCCTATCACAAAAGGACTCACTGCCTGACCTACCAGTCGGGACTGACCCAACACCGCCAGGAGACTTTCGACACAAGGCACCTCCGCAGGTCATAAGGAATTCCCACAATGACCCAATGTCCGATTCCTCTCAATCCACCCTACCAACGAACTAGGCTCTGATACCACTTGTTATGAGAAAACGAAAAAGAAAGCAAATAAGGAGAACAGAGATTTTACGTGGTTCGGTAACGGTGTGTCAACCTACGTCCACAGGCAGGAACCGGAGATATTTTATTATACTGATTCAGAGATTTACAATTATGTCGTCCGACTAAGAACCATACCTGTCTATTTATAAGCACCCCAAAACACCCTAAACCCTAAGCCTATTTGTTATTAATTAGGATAAGCCCAAAAGAAACCCTGTCAATTGAAACAGCCCTTTGGCTTTGGTTTTGGGTCGGGTAGACCGCTAAATCCAAGTCACGGTTCAACAATTGGTACCTTGTTATGAGAAAATGAGAAAGAAAGCAAATAAAGAACACAGAGATTTTACGTGGTTCGGTGACGGTGTATCAACCTACGTCCACGGGCAGGAACCGGAGAGATTTTATTATACGGATTAAGAGATATACAACTATGTCGTCCGACTAAGAACCATAGGTGTCTATTTATAAGCACCCCAAAACACCCTAAACCCTAAGCCTATTTGTTATTAATTAGGATAAGCCCAAAAGGAACCCTGCCAATTGAAACAGCCATTTCGCTTTGGTTTCGGGTCGGGTAGACCGCTAAATCCAAGTCACGGTTCAACAATTGGTACCTTGTTATGAGAAAACGAGAAAGAAAGCAAATAAAGAACACAGAGATTTTACGTGGTTCGGTGACGGTGTGTTAACCTACGTCCACGGGCAGGAAACGGAGAGATTTTATTATACTGATTCAGAGATTTACAATTATGTCATCCGACTAAGAACCATAGTTGTCTATTTATAAGCACCCGAAAACACCCTAAACCCTAAGCCTGTTTGTTATTAATTAGGATAAGCCCAAAAGGAACCCTGCCAATTGAAACAGCCATTTCGCTTTGGTTTCGGGTCGGGTAGACCGCTAAATCCAAGTCACGGTTCAACAATTGGTACCTTGTTATAAGAAAACGAGAAAGAAAGTAAATAAAGAACACAGAGATTTTACGTGGTTCGGTGATGGTGTGTTAACCTACGTCCACGGGCAGGAACCGGAGAGATTTTATTATACTGATTCAGAGATTTACAATTATGTCGTCCGACTAAGAACCATAACTGTTTATTTATAAGCACCCCAAAACACCCTAAACCCTAAGCCTATTTGTTATTAATTAGGATAAGCCCAAAAGGAACCCTGCCAATTGAAACAACCATTTCGCTTTGGTTTCGGGTCGGGTAGACTGCTAAATCCAAGTCACGGTTCAACAATCTCCACCTTGACTTGGAGTTTCTCTCAGTCGTCTCCTTCCTGCCAGATGCCCCAAGAGGGCTTCACCTCCTACGAATATTCACCAAGTTCAAGCAGTGCTCAAACTTCTCCGTCGGTAGTGCCTTTGTCGACATATCAGCTGGATTGTGTTTTGTAGCTATTTTTTTAATAGAAAACTTGTCTTCCTCTAGAACATCACGGATACAATTCAACCTTACATCAATATGTTTCATTCTCTCATGATACACTGGATTTTTAGCCAAACTCAAAGCACTTTGACTATCACTGAATAACACCGGTTTATCCACCTTCAGACCCAAACTCTGCACCAGACCATGTAACCAGATACCCTCCTTAATACCTTCAGTCATTGACATGTATTCCGCCTCAGTCGTCGATAGTGCAACAGTAGGTTGTAAAGTAGATTTCCAACTGACTGCATATCCAAACAGAGTGAAGATAAAACAAGTCAGTGATCTTCGTTTCACCAAGTCACCCCCGTAATCAGAGTCTGCATAGCCAACAAGACCATCACCATGGCCTTTATCATCATATACCAGACAAATATCAGACACTCCTTTCAAATATCGCAAGATCCACTTTACAACTCCCCAGTGAGCTTTACCCGGATTAGCCATAAACCTGCTCACCACACTAACCGCATAAGCGAGATCCGGTCTCATACATACCATCGCATACATAAGACTTCCAACTGCACTTGAATATGGAACCGTCTTCATGTAACTAACCTCTTCATCTGTAGCCGGTATAGTGTTTCGATCAAGTTTAAAGTGTGCCACCAAAGGGGTACTTACCGGTTTGGACTGATCAACAGAGAATGCCTGCAAAACTTTCTCAATATACTTTTCTTGAGAAACCTATAGCCGTCTTGCTTCTCTATCACGCCAGATCTCCATACCAAGTATTTTCTTTGCCGCACCCAAATCCTTCATCTCAAACTCACCCTTTAGTAGAGCCTTCAAGTCATTAATTACAACCATGTTTTTAGCTGCAATTAACATATCATCCACATACAACAGCAGATACACAAAGGAATCAGTAGAAACTTTCTTCGAGTAAACACAGTTATCAAACTGATTACGAGTATAACCATTAGACACCATGAATGAGTCAAATCTCTTGTACCATTGTCTCGGAGACTGCTTCAAGCCATACAGAGATTTCTTTAACAAGCATACCTGGTCCCCTTTAGAACTGTAGAACCCCTCCGGTTGAGACATGTAAATCTGTTCTTCTAGATTACCATGAAGGAATGCTGTTTTTACATCAAGCTGCTCCAGCTCCAGATCAAAAGCACCCACCATTGCCAAAAGAACCCGAATGTTTTTGTGTTTCACCACATGAGAAAAGACTTCATGGTAATCGATTCCTTCCTTCTGTGAAAACCCTTTTGCCACCAGTCTCGCCTTGAACCTAGCAGGTTCAACACCAGGAATTCTCTCATTTCCTTTAAAGACCCACTTGCATCCCGCTGCGTTCACCCCTTTTGGTAATGCAACAAGATCCCAAGTCTTGTTCTTTTCAAGAGACTGCATCTCTTCATTCATTGCCATAATCCAGGTTTCTGCATCTTTACTCGCCGCAACTTCTTTATATGTCTTTGGCTCATCCGAGCCAAGATCATCACCAACCGCCAGTGCATAAGCCACAGAATTTATGTCACATGTATTGACACATCCTGTAAACCTAGTTGGTTTCTGAATATTTCTCTTTCCCTTTTTTGCTGCTATGGAATCTTCAACCCCAGTACCAGCATCATCAGCTTCCCCCTCAACCGGTTTCCCTTGAGGTTTTGACTGATCTGGTTGATTGGATTGATCAATAGTATTATCCTGTTGCTCTTCCTCTAACACAACTCTGTCAGGAGTCTCAAACTCCACCCTCTGGTTAGCACCACAATCTTTTATACCTGCAATACTTTCACAACCTTTACTCTGATCAAGCATAGCAGATTCATCAAAAGTTACATCTCTGCTAATAAGAAA